GAGCAGTTCATGCTCTTTAGACTCACCTGTCAGAAATCAGAAGTACTTGCAAACCCCAGCCAAGGCTGCTGTCAGACTTTTCCAACTTTTTTTCATACTACGTGGGTTTTCATCCCTCCAGACAGAATTTCCTCAGCCTCTCCACCCACGAAAAGCATCCCAAAGCATGGCAAGGACCAAGGAACCAGAAGGGCACGTACAGCAGCGAGAAACCAACTCTCTTCCTGAGCCAGCCTCCCAGAATTTCAGGTCTCAGCCCAGAGCGTCGCAGCACCCAAAGGAAAGCACTGCAACGCTCTCAGCTTCATGTTTGCTGAGCAGCTTTCTATCGTCTCCACTAACGGGCCCCTCTATATGTCCCAAGCACAAGCAAGGCGTTGGGTTTGGGTCCCCTTTCCCTATAGCCAGCAGAACATCCCCAGGCCCAGGAGTGCAGGGGACCACAGGCTGTGCCAGAGCCACCAGCGAATGTCACTAGATGGCGGCAACGCCTTGCATCCACGGAGGAGATGCACAAACTCCTCGGGGGAGCCTTGCTCTGCTTGCACCCAGCCTTTCCCACCCTCGCACAGGTCCCTCCGCTTTTTTGGGCCACGGACACCCAGCCATCCCACTGGGATTTCAAGCAACAGCCAGGAAACACCTCTCCCAAAAGCCCATTTTGGAGCTGAGGAAGAGGAGGCAGGGGCAACGTCCTGCAGCAGGATGTCAGGCTGTGAAGGTGGGTGGGTTGAGCGAACACAAGCACTCATTGAGGTAGGAAAGAGGTTGTTCATGTTCACCCCATCTTCTCCGTGAGATCCGTCCTGGGGTTTTATCACCCTCCTTCCAGCCTGGTCCCTCCTCTCCTGGGGGTCTCTGGAGCCTACCCCCAGGGAGAGACTGGGAAAACGGCACATGGAAAGACCCCAACTCACACTCAGGACCAGAACACACCAAATTTGATTAAAAAAAAAAAAAATCACATAAGCCTAGAAAGCAGAAAAATCTCCCCCTTGTCTCCCAGTCCTGTCTCTGCCCATGAGCTGGCTGGTGTCTGCAAACCATACACAAACAAAAGTTTTCAGACCTATCAGAGACCCAAGCAATGCCAAACAGGTCCAGTAAGTGGGTGATAAGGATGTTCGGGGTTTTACAGTGCCACTTACTACCCCGTACAAGGTACATCACAGTGGGAAACATCTTATGTTGTCTGAGAAAAAATATATAAGCTTGTTGCTGGGGATGAATGAAGGAGTTATGTGTCCCCCTCTTCTCTGGTGCACAGAAGCATGAACTTTCACAGAGAAAACAAGAAAATTCCAGGTAAAAACTGTAAGGTTTTGGCCAGAAATCAAAGTATCTTAGTCCTGCCTTTCTCAGAGGCACACCCACACATCAGTGAGGTTCAGGGACCCATAGTAGGAAGGGGGCTAGGAAGTTTGCAGAGTGTGTCTGCAGCTGCACAGGCAGATGCACACCCATAATAATTTGTCTGAACCTCATGTCGAGGAGATATAAGGCAGAAATGTAAATTATAAATGAATTAAAGTGTGTGAAGCTGCCCCTTTCTTATGGTGAATGTGGCTCTTCTTCCCTCTTTCTAAAACTGCTATGAATTACAGGTATCTCAGCTGACATGAGGTAGGACTTCCAAGTGGGTCAACACCTCTTCTCACCTACAAATGAGCACACATATGCTTTTCCACCTTCACTTCTGGTGATTTTGCAGAGCAAGGAGCTGCCAGCGCATCAGCCCTTTCCCCATGGCTGGGGGGTCACCATGAGGAGTTTCACAACAGGCTCAAGGACATCTGTGTTGTGGTTTGGGTCTTGTAGACCAAAGTGCAGGACCCACTCATAAAGGCAGAGCAGAAAGGGAGCGCGAGGATGGGATTGTGCAATGCTGGCTCCCGTGGTGGAACACTGAAGACACTATTACCTGAAGAGGGTTGTGCAATCTGGTCCTACTACACCAAAGATTATATTAAACACCACAGCCAAATTTTATCTCAAAATCTGCAATCCCATAGGATATGTGGTCTGTGGCCACCCACCAGGGACTTGACAAGGAAGATGCTGCGGAGGCTGAGCAGTTACAACATGTTTGCTTTATCAGCTTTTTCAGGTGACTTTGGGAAAGTCACTCAGTCCTTGTGCACTCTATCATGTATAAAACAGGGATACCTGTGCTCAGGGAGGTGGTTTGACTGTAGCAAGCACAGCAGCAGCACCAAGCAGTACATGCACAGGGGCAATCCTGGACTTTGTCCACATCTCTGGCCTTGCTGGCACCATGGTGATTTCCCATGGAGCGTC